CAGGGTTTCTGTGTTTCATCCATTATATTAGATGGATCTCCTAGGCTTCCTGGTTCAGAAAGTAATGTCTTTATGAAGAAGACATCTAGTGGTGCCCAGAAACTCAAGACTCTTTACTCTCCAGTGCGTGGTTCTCCTTTGTGGTGGAGCCCCATTTGCCGTTGGTGGGGTATGGGCAGGGCCACCTTTCTGTCTGTTTGCCTATGGTGGGCTTAGTCTACTGCTGAGAACATTTTGCCTCAGCTGGCCCTTTGTTATTAGAGCAGTAGTCCTTGTGCTGGGATCATTGTGGGTGGGGCCTCCATCTGCCTGCCCTGCAGGGATGGCAGCAGGGATGCTGGGGTAACAGGGTGGATGGGGAAGTCAGACAGTGACAGCCTGGTATGCTACCTGCAAGAAGTAAGGAGCGCTTGGAGCTCGCTTCTGCAGGTGCTTCTCTAACTGGGCTGAGACAGTGCTGAGAAAGCTGTGAAAGCTTCCCTCTGCCAGCCAGGCAACAAAGTCTCCCTCCATCTGCTATGCAGCAAAGCCTGACACTGCTGGGCCAAGTGAATGGGTGGGTGGTGCACATTGAAGAACCTTGGGGCTGAACCCCTGGCAAGGGAGATGGATCATTTGGGATTCCCAAGAATCCCTGACCTGTTCAGCATGGGAAATCTGGGGAAGAGTTGCCTGCCTGCCCTTTGTTCTACAGCCAGAGCTCTGTCCAACCCTTGCCCCTCTGACACCCTTCCCACTGCTGGCAAGTTTTTCAAACTGCTGGGTCTTAGTGAAACCAGCAGTGAAACCTGTTCTCCATAAGCAGCTGGAATCTCTGCCTCCTAGAGTGTTCCAACTGTCCTGGTGTCCATCCCTGCTATTCAGGACATGGACTGTTGTTCAGTGCAACGTGGACTCATTCCCCAGAGAAGATCTTCAGGGCCAGGTGTGCAGAGTTTCTGAGCACCTATCCCCTCCCCATTCTGTTTCTCTTCCTCCCTCCTGTGGACTGGGATGGGGGAAGGGCTGGGGTCCCATTCAGTCACAGGTCTGCCACTTTACCCTACTCTGTGTGGTCTTCTCTTCTTCACTAGATGTAGGTGGTCTGTTCTTCAGTCTTCAGGTCATTTTTAGGTTTAGTTGTGTCTGCTGTAATTGTTTGCTTTGTGTGTGTGTGGTTTCTACTTTGCCTTCCTACTCCACATCTTTTTAACTGTCATCCAGTTCATTCATCTTAATATTAATGGTCATATAATATCCTATTGAATGAATATGCCGGTTTATTTCCCTGTTAACAGATACCCCTATTGTTCTAATCTTTTGCATTGTTTATTGATAAACAGTGCTACATTACATATCCTTGGACATGTCTTATTGTGTGGTCTCTCTTATTGTGAGGTTTCTCTAATTCATAAACCTGGAAGTGGAATTCTTTAGACATTAGTATAGCTTAATTCTACTGATATTGGCAAGTTGATCCTATTTGTTTCTATTCTCACCAATGTTTTAGGTCTTATATTTTTCCACAATCTTGGTGATTCGTAATCTTTTTAGGCTTACTATTTTTGGCCATTATAATGGATTATCATTGATTACTCTTCACATTGAACATCTTCCAGTATGTTTAATGAATCTTGATTTTCTTTTCTATGAATTATCTATTCATATAATTTGCCCACTTTTCTATTGACTTTTTGCCCTTCTCTTATGGATGTCTAGAAATTTTTCTAATGTCTGCATCTCTAATCCTTTTCTGATTTTGTGTTGGAGATGCCTTCTTCCAGTCTTTTAACTTTGTTTTTAGTGACTTCTATTTTAATTTACCAGTCTTTTCTCTTAAGGTTTAAATATATTTATATGAGTCTCATTTTCTTTTCTACTTTAATGACATAAAGGATATCCTCGTCAGTGAGTTTTATAGTTTAGCTTTTTACATTTAGGCTTTTAATCCATCTGGAATTTATTTTTATAATAGATCAAGGGAGGGATGTGTGTATTTTTTCCATGTGGATAGCTAATGGCCATGTGGCATTTTATCGTCCTTTCATCCCTGACTCATAGTGCTACACTGCTGAATACCAAACTCCCCAATATACATGGATCTATTTGTGGGTTCTGTTCTGTTCCTCTGGTTATTTGTCTTTCCTTATACCCATGCCACTTATTTTAGTGAATAAACTTTACAGTAAGCTTATTTAAAGAAGAGTCTTTCTTCCTCGTTATTTTTCTTTAAAATTCTTTGGCTACTACTTAGTCTCTTAGTATTTCATATTAATTTAAAAATCATATTGTTCAGATTATTTTTTAAAAATTCTTCAGGAATTGTGATGAAAAACTATATTGAATTTATAGATTATTTCACAGAGGATTGACATCAAATGGTATTGAGTCTTTACATTCAGGATCATGGTTATCTTTTTAAAATGTCTTTTATGCTTGTTGGTGAGGTTTTATAACTTTTATATAGTATTTTAGATGAGATTCTTACACATATTTTCTTTAATTTTGTCCTAGAGACTTATATTTTTTGTTAACATTGTGAAAAGTAATTTTTTGAAATGTCATTTTTTTAATTGCTGCTGGTGTATGTTATTTTTGTACATTGCTTTTTTATTCAAATAGTCTTTAGATTTGTTAATGACAATATTTTCTAAGAATAATGGGAGGTTTTTTTTCATTCCAATCTTAGAGTTTTTTCTTTCTCTTGTCAGATGTCAAGTAGCTCCAGGATATTATTGAAGTGAAGCAGTGATAAAATGCATTCCTGCCTCGTTTCTAATTTAAAAGGACATGTGTCTAAAACATTTTACATTAACCATGGTGTTTAGTATAGGATTTTGATAATTTTTCTTAAATTAAGTGAGTTCCATTCCCAGTTTAGGTATGAGTGTTTTGTGTTTGTTTCTGTCAAGAGTGGGTGCTACATTGCCATTTTTTAAAAATTAATTAATTAATTAATTTTATTAAGCTATCATTGATATACACTCTTATGAAGGTTTCACAAGAAAAACAATGTGGTTATTACATTCACCCTTATTATCGAGTCCACCCCATACCCCATTGCAGTTGCTGTCCATCAGTGTAGTAAGATGCGACAAAGTCCCTATTTGTCTTCTCTGAGCTACACTGTCTTCCCCGTGACCTCTCACATACCATGTGCACTAATGATGATACCCCTTAATCCCCTTCTCTGTCCCTTCCCACCTGCCTTCCCCTACCCCTCCCCTTTGGTAACCACTAGTCTCTTCTTGGAGTCTGTGAGTCTGCTGCTATTTGTTCCTTCAGTTTTGCTTCGTTGTTATACTCCACAAATGAGTGAAATCATTTGGCACTTCTCTTACTCCACCTGGCTTATTTCACTGAGTATAATATCCTCTAGCTCCATCCATGTTGTTGCAAGTGGCGGAATTTCTTTATTTTTTATGGCTGACTAATATTTCATCATGTATATGTACTACATCTTCTTTATCCATTCATCTACTGATGGACTCTTAGGTTGCTTCCATATTTTGACTATGGTAAATAGTGCTGCAGTAAACATAGGGGTGCATATGTCTTTTTAAATCTGAGAAGTTGTTTTCTTTGGGTAAATTTCTAGGAGTGGAATTCCCAGGTCAAATGGTATTTCTATTTTTAGTTTTTTGAGGAACCTCCATATTGCTTTCCACAATGGTTGAACTAGTTTACATTCCCACCAGCAGTGTAGGAGGGTTCTCCTTTCTCCACATCCTCACCAGCATTTGTTGTTCCTATTCCTTTCTATGTTGGCCATCCTAACTGGTGTGAGGTGATACTCATTGTGGTTTTAATTTGCATTTCCCTGATAATTAGTGATGTGGATGGAACATCTTTTCATCTGTCTGTTGGCCTTCTAAATTTCTTCTTTGGAGAAGTGTGTGTTCATATCCTTTGCCCATTTTTTAATAGAGTTATTTGCTTTTTGGATGTTGAGGTGTGTGAGTTCTTTATCTATTTTGGATGTTAACCCTTGTCAGATATGTCATTTACAAATATATTCTCCCATACTGTAGGATGCCTTTTTGTTCTGCTGATGGTGTCCTTTGCTGTACAGAAGCTTTTTAGCTTGATGTAGCCCCATTTGTTTATTTTTGCTTTTGTTTCCCTTGCCCAAGGAGACGCGCTCAGGAAAAAGTTGCTCATGTTTTTATTCAAGAGATTTTTGCCTATGTTTTCTTCTAATAGTTTTATGGTTTCATGACTTATATTCAGGCCTTTGGTCCATTTTGAGTTTACTTTTGTATTGGGGTTAGACAATAATCCAGTTTCATTCTCTTGCATGTAGCTGTCCAGTTTTGCCAACACCAGTTGTTGAAGAGGCTGTCATTTCCCCGAGAGTGGGTGCTACATTTGATCAAATATTTTTTTCTCCTTTGATCTGTTAACCTGTTATTATGATAATTATACCTTTCTTTTTTCTTATTCCTCAGAAAGCTTTATTCTACTTCATTAGTCTTTACAAAGACTGATTTGGGATCTGCTAAATCTTACTGTTGTTTCTCTACTATGGCATTATTTTCTGCAATTTTCTTTCTTTTAGCTTCTTGGCTTAATTGGTATTTGTTTTTTACTTATTAGAAACTCTAATTGGAGTCAGTTTTGGTATCTCAATTTTTATTAATATCTCACAAGCTGGTCTGTAATATTTTCACTGTCATTTTGTTCTAAATATTTTCTGTACAATTACATTTATCAATTTCTTGTATATATTACTACTTACATATTCATGTTAGCTTTTCTCCAATGGATATACCTCATTGAGGTATGTAGCAATTTTTAAAAAATAAATCGGTGAAAAAAGTGAATGAACACATTCCAGTTACAGCTGCCAAATGGGCCACTGTACAATTAGAAAGTCAGATATTTGCATATTATACTGTACAGTAGCATACTACTAATATATGAAATCATTATTTATTATCATGTTTTTTCCATTAATAGGATCTTTCCACTCTGTAAACAAGACTTGTGAACAAAAATCTTTACCTTGTCTTCTTTCCTAGATTACCCAGAAGTATCAGCTTCATGAAGTCACTGCCTACCTATTAGAAAAAAAAGGAGATATTCATGGTGCCTTCTTAATAATGTTAAAGGTAACATTTCACTCTGTTTGCTTCATCATGTTTCTGTCTATCCTTCTATCCAGTCATCAACCCATCCTTTTTTTAATTGAGATATAGTTGGCCTATAACATTAAGTTCTCATCAATCCATCTTGATTTCCTATGTTTCAAAGTAGTGACAATTTTACCTCTAAATATTTTCATCATACATGTCTTTAGCTAGAGTTTAGTATTTCTTTGTGGTATTTTTTTAAGGTAAAGTTTACATACAACAAAATTTAGAAGTCTTAGTTGTACTATTTGATGAATTTTGACAAATGCCTACACATCATGACTCTTGTCCCTAACAAGACAGAACATTACCTTCACCCAAGAAAGTTCCTTCATGCTCCTTCACAGTCATTTCCACTCCCATTCTTCAGAGAGAACCATTTTTCTAACTTTTTTCACTGTGAATTAGTTTTGTCTGTTTTGTCCACTCATGTTAATGAAATCATCCTATAGGTACTCATATAATACTTTCATTCAGCATAATGTTTTTGAGGTTTATCTCTGTTATTTCATGTATTCAGTAGTTTATTCCTTTTATTGCTGAGTAGTATTTAATTGTGTGAATATTCCACAGTTTATTCATTCTCTTGTTGATTGACATCTGGGCTATTTCTAGTTTTTGGCTATTAAGAATAAAGCTACTATGATCACTCTTACACATAAGGATTTTCATTTGCCTGGGATCATTACCAAGGAATGGAATTGCTGGGTCACAGGATGGGTTTAGGTTTAGTTTTATAAAATTAACAGACCTGTTTCCAAAGTGGTTGTACCATTTTACATCCATGCCAATAATATGTAAGAGTTTTGGTTGTTTCATATTCTTACCAACAGTTGATGTTCCATTAGTTTTTTTTTTAAAGAATTCCCCATTGTTTCACCTGTTGTAAAATATACGTAACATAAAATTTACCATTTCAGTGGTATTAAGTGTATTCACATTGTTGTGCAGTCATTACCACCATCCATCTCTCGAACTTCTTAAACTTCCCAAACTGAAACTGCGTACCCATTAAATAATCACCCCCCATTCCTTCCTCCCCTACCTTAGCCCCTGGAAACATCCGTTCTACTTTCTGACTCTGAATTTGATGACTCTAGATATTTCATATACCTGGAATCATATCTGTCTTTTGGTGTCTGGCTTATTATATTTCACATAATGTCTTCAAGATTTATCCATGTTGTAGCATGTCAGAATTTCATTCCTTTCTAAGGCTCAATAATATACCAAGTTTATGTATATACCACATTTTGTATATCCATTCATTTGTTAGTGGACACTTCAGTTGATTCCACCTTTTGACTGTTGTGAACAATGCTGCTATGAACATGTGTGTGCAAATACCTTTTCAAAACACTGCTTTAATTTCTGCTGGGTATATAACCAGAAGTGGAGTAGCTGGATTAAATGATAATTCATTTTTAATTTTTGAGGAAACACCATACTGTTTTCTGCAGTGGCTGTACCATTTTACATTCCCATTCACAAGAGTTCACTTTCTCCAAATCATCACCAGCACTTTTTATTTTCTGTTTTCTTGACACTAGTCATCCTGTGGGGTATGAAGTGCTGTATCTGTTTTTTAAATATTGTCATCTAGCTAGAAATAGATTAGGGATGTCCTTTTTATATAAATGTTCTATATTGGCTTGTAGTTTTTCCCTAGCCATTTAATTATAAAACAGTCCAGGGAGAATACTCCACAGAGGCTTAACCTCTTTTAATCTGTAAGTTACCCTGACATCTCTTTTTTTTTCCTTGCAACTTATTTGTTGAAGATATCATGTACCTACTTTTAAAGGATAAGTAAAAGTGTCCCTGGCATAGATGGGGGGAAAGAGAAGCAGGATATCTTTGCAGGGAATTAGTCCATCATTTGCAAAGAAATGGGAGTACAAAGAAATTTGAACTGCTAGGAGAGCAGCCAGCCACTTTACTAGTGCTCAACTATTAATGTATAGGCCAGTCAGGCTAGAAACAAAGGCTAGGTCCAGATTTGGAAAGATTTTGTAGGACACAATAAAAAATTAGGACTGATTCTGTTGTCACATTGAGTCAAGTAAAGGTTTTGCGTCAACAAACGGACATGATGTTTGTTTCATAGACTGCCCCAGTGACTGTAGGAAGATTTGTGGGGGAAGGGAGCTGCAAAGAAGAGGTGAAACTGGAAGTCAAGAACAGTTGCAAGCCTGTTGCAGAGGACTTGAATGGCTTGAGCTGGTTGTGGCGGTGGTGGAGTAAGAGGAGGAGGTGGATTTGAGGGAGTAGTTAATGACGATTCTATGATTTTTAGCTTAACATTAGCCTATAAGGGACCCCAAGAAAAGGAGCAAATTTTGGGTAGGAAAGGATATATTAAAGTCAGCTTCAGTGTGTATTAAGAAGCCTTTGGAATATCAGTTGAAGGCATCTAAAGATCTAGAATTCAGTAGAGCAGTGGACGCTACAATAGCATATGTAGGAGATGTCACACTCGAGGCTCTGTAATATGGTACACTTTATTTTACAGTCCCATCAGAAATGTACAATTATTGTGTCCTACAAAATCTTTCCAAATCTGGACCTAGCCTTTGTTTCTAGCTTGACCGACCTATACAAAGCCCTTTTTATTTCCACCCACCCCTTTTTTCATAATCCAGTATGAATTTTATTCCCTTATCCAAAGCTTAGATAAATCCTAAACCTTATTACTGTGCTGAAAGAGAGTCAGTGATGACAGTCGTGGTACAAGAGAAGCAGAATGATACTTGATATTTGGGTCCTTTCCAATACTGCTGGCTGTTCTTCCTATACACACAAGAATTCCCTTCTGAATGATAGTAAGGGACCATTCTTAACCTTGTTGTTTCTTAGGGCTTTTCTTTTAAAATATGTTAATTCAAAATTTGATAGATTACAAAGATAAAGTGTTCCTTTTTCCTCCTGTATTTTTTACCTCCTAGAGACTGCAAAGCAAACTTCAAGAGATAACACATCAAGATGAAAGTAAGTTCTTGAATGCAATTTACAATTTTTTTCCTTATAGACCGGTGTTTTAAAAGATGTCTAATAAACTGCATTTACCAAGTAATAAATACATTGATTTGTATAATTACTGTTTATCCACTTTAACACTGATCCCATTTTACCTTGTTTTCAAGGGCTTAAATAGGAAATCATATAAACCACTGTGGATTTGTGATGTTAATTGTCAGTGGAGTTCAATATACAGAAAATTAGGCCACTTTTCACTGGTATTGATCATTTTTTTTTGGTTATATTACTGTGCTGATGTTTTGGTTATATGTAAATGAGATGCATAAATGACATTCTAAAAATTACCATAATGTGCTGAGCAACAGCAAATCAGAGCTTCTAATCAGCAAGTAATAATCAGTGTTTCCATATACTGAATTTATATAATTTTAGCACAAAGCAATAAAACTTGGCAGTTTAGAATCTTGCATAGCTTTGTTACAGATAGATATAAAAGTCCCTATCTTCCTTGAAATTAAAAAATATATATTTCCTTAAATTGTGATAATATAATGTTTTAACCATTTTTAACTGCATAGTTCAGTGGCATTAAGTACATTTACTTTGTTGTGTAATCCTACCACCATCTATTTCCAGAACTTTTCAACTTCTCAAACTGAAACTCTGTGCCTGCTAAACAATTACTCCCCATTCCCTCCTTCCCCTACAGCCCACCATTCTACTTTCTGACTCTGAATTTGATGAGTTTGGGTATCTCATATTAGCAGAATCATTAAGTGTTTTTGTCCTGTTGTATCTGGCTTACTGCCTTAGCATAATGTCTTCAGCATTTAGCCATGTTGTAGCACATGTCAGAATTTCATTTCTTTTTAAGACTGAATAATACTCCATTTTAAGTATATAACATATCCATTCATCCAAAGATGGACATTTTTGTTGCTTCCACCTTTTGACCATTGTGAATAATACTACTGTGAACGTGGTGTACAAGTATCTTTTCAAGACCCTGCTTTCATTTCTTCTGGGTATTTAACCAGAAGTGGAATTGCTGGAATAAATGGTAATTCCATCTTTAATTTTTGAGGAATCACCATACTGTTTTCTACAATGCCTGCATCATTTTACAGTTCCATTAGAAATGCACACAAGGGTTCCAGTTTCTCCACATCCTCACCAACACCAACAGTCATTTTTTTTTCTTGATTGTAGCTATCCAAATGGTTGTGAATTAGTACCTCATTGTGGTTTTGAGCATATCCCTAGTGATGTGGAGCATTTTCATGTGCTTATTGGTCATTTGCATATCTTTGGAGAAATGTCTATTCAAGACCTTTGCCTGCTTTTGCATTGGATTATTTGTTTTCATATTACTTGAAATTTTCAGAGTAGCCCTTCCAAATCCTTGAGAATTACTTGATATGTGGTTTTTATATTGCCCTATCTCTTTAACAAACCAACATATTTCTTGGACCCTGTGGCCCACACATTTCCCTAAACACTTTTATACTAATTCTCTGTAGCCTATTTATCTATATTTTTTAATGGTAAGGTCCTAAGTGATAGGGTCTTTGTTGTATCTTGGTGATTTGGTATTACACTGAATCTTTTTTTTTTTGTAAACTTACGACAGTTGAGTTGACTATTCTATATTTAGTTCAGCTAAACATTTAATTATTATTTTTGTGCTGTCAGTATGTGTTCAGTCAATTTGACTATGTTAGGTCTGTTGCATTTATGACCTTTTCCTTTTGTTGTAAGAATGATTTTTGCAAACATTACATGAAAGACTGAAGGAAAAACGAGAAGAATGTTTCCCCAAAAATACTACAGCAATTTGCAGGTGGTATGTGTAGAGAAGCCAGTTCTTTGAATTCCAATGAAGATAAGATTCTCATATCTGCCATTTACTTTCAGATTCAATTTTTTCAGTATGCTTTAAAAATTCTGGAGGGGTTTGCTAATAGCAAAGCACTGTGCTATTCCTGGGGACTGTTCATGAATGGCTAAACACAGTCCTCACTCAAAAAACTAGAGTCTTGTGAAAGAGGCAGATATGTAAATAAAAACTTCTAATGCAGGTAGAACCAAGTATTATAAAAGAGGCATGAGAATGACAAAGGATTGTGGAAAATTAGGGAACCATTTGTAACTGATGATTTGGAGATACTTTTGTGGAAGACATGATCTTGAAAGTGAGACTGGAATGTGATAGGGGTTTGATAGGCAGCAGTAAGGCAAGAGACTCCAGGCTGAAGAGAACATAAACGTGAGAGGAACCTGGTTAGTAACAACCTCAGGGAGTAAGAAATACGCTGGTGATAGAAGAGCTCAGAGCATGAAAAGATGAGGTGGAATGTTTACTCTGTTCATTAGGGTCAGAGATTTACTCAGGAATTCAGAGGTTTTAAATGAAAAGTCTTTGATGGCTTTTGTGGATGGACTGATGTGTTTGGACTTGTGATTAAGAAAACTACTCTAGTGACAGTGTAAAAGGGGATGGAGAGAGGCAAGATTTGGAAGTCAAAAGTTTAAGAGGCTGTTGCAGTGCAAATGAGGTGATGGAGAGCTCACGAGAGAAAAAGTCATGGGTGTATGAGAGTACGGAAGTGGAATGAACAAAATTGGCAATTTATTTGAATGTGTCGATGAAGGAGAGGGATGCCTCAAAGATGATGAAGACTTACAAACTGGTTGACTTAAAGATCATGGTTTCATTAACTTAGTTTGGAAAGGGGAGGAGCAGATTTGAGTGAGAAAAATGGGTTGAGTTTTGCACATATGAAGTTCAAGGTGCTTGCTGCACATCCATGTGGAGATAGATCTCTAGAGCCTGTCAAAATTTCAGCCTGTAAATTATGGAAGGAATAAGGGCTGGAGGTGTGTATTTGAAAGTTATTAGCAAGGGCCTGAGAGTTGAAACCACAAGATAGGTTGAAATTGTTGCAGGTGAAAAGAAAAGGGCCTAAGATAGTATCTGGAGGCATATCTACATTTAAGAAATAGGTGGGGAAAAAAATGGTAGAACAAGGAAAATGAAAGATAATCTCTTTACTAATTAACCTACAAGCAGATGATTGGAGACTTTCCACAGCTAAAGCACAATAAAATGCTAGTGCTTTATATGTCCTGTGGATGTCAGACATTTATATGGAAAACTCCTTTACACAGATTTGTCTGTTTTTTGTTCTACTAAACATCTGTATCATTCTTATAGATGATTATGTAATAGAAAACTGAAGCTATGTGAAGAAAATAATTTGATTTTTTACAGAAGCTCTGATATTGTCAGTTAATATATCCTTAAGTGATGTTACTAATTTTTCTGAATCTAGATACAAAGCAGGATCCATCATTAAAGGATGTTGAAGATACTATGGTAGAGACAATTGCCCTTTGCCAGAGAAATTCCCATAATCTGAACCAGCAGCAACGAGAGGTAGGAGAATGACTCTTAAGCATGTAAAAGTATCTTCTTGTCTGAAATGAGGAATGAATTCTACTTCCACTGCCTTCTCAGCCACCTGAGTTTAATTCAACTGGATTTTAATCACTATTCAGTGCTCCCAGGAGTATAAGACTCCTAATGTTACTGTGAGATGTGCCTGTGCTCTTTGTTCTCGCAAAAGGCTTTGTAGTCTTAGGTTTGGCTGTGCTGCAAACTCATGTGCATGAATACTTCGTACTCTTTGGCCTGAGGTTTTGTGTATTCTGCATAGTGATACTGTGGCTGTGTGGTCATTTATCATTTTTTCTATTCCCTGTGGATGAAAGTGAGCATGAAGAACTAGAGGAAAACCCTCAAGGAATACAGAGAAATCTGGAAAAGGTCACGGAAGGCAATGATATACTAGTTCTCAACCTTGGATGCACATTAGAGTCACCTGGGGAGCTTTGAAAAATCCCAGCACTCAGATCGCACCCCGGATCAATTAAACTGAAGTCTTGGGGGCTGGGTCTCAGTTCATCAGCATGTTTTAAAGCTTCACACATGATTCCACTGTACAGCCAAGGTTGAAACCACTGCTGTACCAGATTATAGACGGCAATGAGGAGGAATACAAAACAGAAAGCGGGACAGTTGAACACCTGGTGCAGGTGGGCGTCACAGCAGTGAAGCAGAAACTAAGGGGGCGAGATGTGACTTGACAGCTAAATTCTGCAGTAGTTTCAGGAAGTAAAGTTGCAGCATGATGTGACACAACTCTGTTGTGCCTGCCCCTCCAGGCCTGGCCTCTGGCTTGATACCACGTGGCCTCTTTCCACAGCCTGGAGTTTTTAAATGGGAAGTAGGTTAAATTTTTCATGTTTATTTAGCCATACATGTTACAATGAAAATAATAAACTTGGTGTGTTTTCTGTAATTATATGATGAGTAAATTGCTCCTTTATGTTTTGTGAAGCATTTTTTTAAGGTCATACATTTTGAAAACCCTTTGGAATATAAATTGTGTATAATAAATATATTAACTTAATAGATGTGATTTTTCTCCTCCTTAAAAACACTTTTTTGTGTGAAATGATACATACCCATCATTCAAAAAATGCTGCCACACAGAAAGTTACTCAGAAGGATGTTTTTAAAAATTACCCTTTGAAATACTGTCACTGAGAAATAACCATCATTATCATTTGGTGAACATCACTCTACATATTTTTTATCTGCCTAGGTTGACATAATTTTAGAAAAATTGGGTCAAATAATGCTTGCTTTTACAAATAAATACATTATTCAGTCTCATTTAGGAAGTTATGTGAAGTGAAGAATTTATGAATTTCAAATTTTTCTTCACTTTACTAAATAATAAATCCCACTAAAATTAAAAAAATCCTAATAACTGTAATAGATTGGAATTATTATATTTATAATTATATTTCAGTTTTTATAATATCTATGATGCCAAGCTAGTAAGGAAATTGGCATGAACTCATAGTTACTCCAACCTTTTTTCTCCATCTCTCTTCATTTAAATTAGTTATGTTATTCTACTTCATTAAAGTTAATAACATTTACATTGTCTTTTGTATCTGTAAATTCAAAGTTGTTTAATCTTTATTTAAAAGCATTATGGGCTTTATACTTGTCCTTTTACCATCATTTTTCCACTCCTAAATTTTTATTTTCATTTATTTTTTGGTTAGCTGGCTATATTTGGTCATGGCTATATTTTGATAGAGAAACACAAAAGGGTAGAATTCTTAAAGCTATGTTTATACATATTTAAAATGAAGCCTTTTTTATTTTCCAACCCTTCCATCTCCTCTCTAATATCTATTTGATATCCTTCCATCTTCTTAAGGAAAATTTAAGAAAAAATTGATAATTATGTTTTATAAATAGTGCCATTTAAGTTCACATAAGGTAAAATATGTCTGAATTCACATATATTAATGGTAGAATTAGATACAAAATCCATGCCTCGAGACCTCTAGGGATTATTGTGACTATATAGGAACTCTGTATCTCTGAACTAGAGAAAGGAACAAAGCTTCCTCTGATGTGGCAAAAGTAAAATTTATCCTATCGTTTATTCTGTCTGAGTTGGAATTTGTTTTCATAAAGACATTAGATATTAGACTTCTTCCTATCCTTTGGAACTTTCACATCTCTAAGATTACTATTACATCATTTACTGGCTACAAAGAAGAGAAATCCATCTGTCTGCACCTCTGCCTATCTTAGACACACACCACACACACATACACACACACACACACACACACACCCCTCACACCATTCTACTTCACACACACACACACACACATACACACAACCTCACACCCCCTCACACCATTCTACTTCTCCCCCACCCTCCAACAACTGCTTTCTGTTTCATTTCTGAGCAAGTTTCATAATAACAACAAAAATACTTGAATGTGGAATTTCATGTAAATACCATTTTTGTGAAAATGCTAGACTGACTTTATATAATATCAAACATTAAGTTTGGGGGATTTTAATGGTCGTTTGCCTTGTTTCTGTTTGCTTTGTTTTTGTTTTGTTTTGAAGAGGGTGAGAACAAAAGCTGTTGCCACAGACCCCAGACTAACTAGAAAATTTGAATATCTAAAGGGTTGATAATGAACTGTCTATAGTATCTCTTCCCAAAAGTTTCATCAGAAGATTTCATATGATGCACATTTCCTTGAAGTTAGACCACAGGAATTTGGGTGGCAGTCCTTTCCCAAGTTGAATCTCTACCCGTCCTACCTTTGTATATCTATTTATGCTGCTACCCCGATGTCGGGTGAGAACATATAATAGCGAATATGGCTTTGTTATGCATATAATTCCTTGGAAAGAAAGCTGCTATTAGGTAACATGAAGTAATTCAGGTTTAGTTGTATTGCTTTCAGAGAATAGTGTTGTCATTATCATAGATGCTTCTCTTAGCCTATGGGTATTTAGAGTTATCCAAGTTAAGCATTTAAGAACCAATATTAAAGAGTAAGAGAAAATATTTAAAGGTGTTTACCATGTGTTTAGGGTTAATGTGGAGATTTAATTGAAGTAGAACTGCTCTGTTTATAGTATGAACACATCCCATGGCTATTACCTCTACAACCATGCTTACCCCAGTCTGCCATTTATAATCAAGAATAAACTAACCTTTAAAAAGGTAAATCTTGTAAATTGTATGGATTAAATAAAAAAAATTTTTAAGTCAAATATCTAAACATAATAACTATAAAAACCCAAAGGTTAAATTAAGGTATGCCATATTCAATTAAAAGTCCATAAAATACACAGAAATAAATGATGTAGTTACAAAAACAAGTTAAAATAGGCAACTAAAAGGTAAGCTAAGTAAAGCTATCTAAGAATAAAACACAAGATTAAATATTCACAAGGACTTGATAAAGTTTCAATAAAATAAAGAATTGCCAATATGTAAAATAGTTCAAACCAGTAGCTTAAGAACTTGCAGAAATACAGATAAAGTCATTAGTATAAAATCCTGGCCTTATAAAATCTCAGATGGGGACAGATAACTGAAGATCAAGTAGCTCTTCAGTTGGGCGGCCACCAGTGGGAAAGTTGTGAGCCCTTGGCCTATCCCCTTGGCCTTAAGGAGTTCCCATATCTCCATTACCAGGTGATTCTACAGTGTTGGGTGGTGGGGCTCAGAACATGCCCTCTTCTGTAAATAACCACTCTTGTCCTTCTCTGTCAATACTGACTTTTCTTCATGTGTCCTAGTTGTGTTTGCAGGATTAGGTTCCTTCCGAGATACTGCAGTAAGGCCTTTGTAAATCACTATCCAACAAAGAAAACATGTTTGAAATGTTTTAATGTGTTAGTTTGATTTTTAATGATAAAGATATTTCCTCAGGTGTAGGAAGAGCACAAAATTTGGTGTCAGACTACCAACTTACTGGCATTGTGATCTTTGGCAAATTACTTCTCTAAACTTCAATTTCTTATCTCAGGTGAAGATAATGTTTACTGTCTAAGGTTATTATGAGACTGAAATGAGAAAATTCATGTAAAGCATTTAATATAGTGCCCAACATAATGGAAATAAATAAGTGATAGATCTATGAATTTGTCTTATGAAGTAGCTGGAAATGTTAATTGAAATAATGTTAATTTCCACTTCTTAGTCTATGGTGACTAATGAAATATAAAATAATGCTTGATACAGGAGAACACTTTGGATAACCTTTATTAATTTATCTTGCAGACTTAGCTGAAGAGAAATGGGGGGTGGGGGTGGGGAAGATGGTTGGGGGAGGTCCTCTGTTCTCTTCTGCAGTATATAGGGTTATTTAGATTTTGTCAAGGATGCATTTATACCAGAGTATATAAGCACCTAGCAGGAGTATGTAAGCACTCAAAGGAGCAGGAAGCACCCTGGCTCCTTCTGAACCTACTCTCTCCCTAGTCAGAAGATTGCAGTTCCAAGGTCTAGACTTACCTAACTTCAGCTTCCTTACTCTCCCAAGATGCATGGTAAAGATGTATCTGTTCTTCCTATGGTCCTTGTTTTAACTTTTTCTTTTTTCCCAGTCATGTGCCATCTTTGCCTTTTCTAATTTTTGTAAACAAATGTGTGAGAGAAGTACATTTCAACCTGTTAAAACACTATGCTGATGTTAATCTTTAAAATAAAGCTTTTATTCTTGGGTTTCCTCTGACACAGGCACTCTGGTTTCCACTGTTGGAAGCAATGATGGCCCCTCAGAAGCTGTCCAGTTCAGCTGTACCTCATCCACATTCTGAAGGTAAGTTCATCAGACTCTACCTATATGTCATCCATTTTTTATCTGCTAAAAATCCTCATTATACCTTCTCCTAGTATTCTTACTGTTTTTCTTAATGAAATTTTATTGTTGTGTGTTGATCTCATCTTCCAGGTTCAGTTTCTCTTCTGTGGCACCAATTATGTCATTTGTCTGGAATAATAGCTTTGCAACTCATGACCAGTTAACTTTAAAATATCAAACTGGCGTTGGTTAGCCAAGTTTCTAGGAAGCTATATATATTTACCTTTTTCCAGTAACTTATAAGAAAAACCAAAACCTCTTATTCTAAACTATCTTTAATATTAACGCTTTATTTTAACAGCTCTGAAATCTCTGACCATGCAAGTTCTAAACAGCATGGCAGCATTTATTGCCCTTCCATCGATTTTGCAAAGAATCTTACAGGTAAGTTAAAAGGTGGGGAAAGTCAATGTCAGTCAGTGTCAACTAATATTTTAGTTGTGTATAAATTACAGAAAATTGAGCTAATGTATAAATGGGCTTCAAGCATAATGCAGCTAGTTTTTGGTTAATGACTCTCATCCTTGAATCTTTCCTAGTGCTCCAGGGGTGTGGGTTTGCCTGGCCCACACCTGCACCTTTAGTTGGGGGTGTACAGCCTTCAGATGTTCACTTGAGATACACAAGCTTCCTATTGGTGTGCTAACTGGAAGAGAATTACCATTTATTTCCCACTGATTATGCTTTTTAGACAAAAACACATAAAAGTTAAGTAAGTGTAGGTGTTTCTTAGTTAATGGTTGTTACTTAGGTTTTCTAACTCATCATGAAATTTTTTTTATGTCCAAGACTCAGCATCTACTCTAAATTCCAGAAGGCTTTGTACCAAAGTCGTTGTGTTTGTAGGAAGCATCTTTCCAGCCTTTTTTTCTTCAGCAAAATGGCTTGAACCTTCCCAGTTTCATCAAAAGGAGAACACTAAAAATACACCACGATATATTTTTAGAAAAAAATCTGTGAACCTTCTTGCGGAAACAACAGCAGTTATCCTCAGATTTCATTTTGTCTTCTTCATTTTATGCACGATGGAGATGCACCAAAAAACAAACAAATTCAAACAGTAATATGACACCATTGTTCTTTTTAATTTTCAAATGATCTGTATCCATCCAAGAACGTCTCTGCCAGCTCTCTTTAATACTCTCCAAGCTGTCCTTCCCATCTGGTATTAGGTGTCTGGGCCTTTGCTGATAAGGACTGCCAATCCAGGACTCTCATCATAGTACATTATCATTCAGAGTGTATCTTCACACACATCATCTATCTCATTTGATCCCTATCATGTATTGAATAATTCTTTGATATAGTATTACTCCATTTTAAAATACATTAGTCATAAGGTTTTTAATCAGTATCTCCAGAGGCAAAAATACTTGACCAAGTAACTTTAAAAAAATGAAGCTGAAAATGGCTTCTCTGTCGGTGTATTTTGCTTTATGTTGAGCTTTAACTACACTTTATGATACATAAGTTGTAATAAATAAAAATTCACTTTTCCCTGGCAAAAGCATGTGATTTTTAAAATCTTGCTTTTTAAGACTCATATCTTTGAAGGCTTTTGATATTTGAAAATCTTCACTTTCTTTTGATTTATACTGGCACTCATTGTTAACAGTACTCTAAGTTTTACCTTTAGTTGTTCACTCCCACTAATCAGGAGGGTATGCTATTTCTTAAATTCCTTATTTGCACATTTGTTGATTACTATAATAATAGCTCTGCCTTGTATTTATATATAAATTCTTACTTTTTCAAGTACTTGCACAGATGCTACCTCATTCAAAGCTCATAACAATCTCTTGAGGTAGGCAGGGCTACTATATAAATTTCTGTTGGTAAAGGAGGCAACTGAAGCATAGAAAAAGTTAAGTACCTGGCCTGCCATTAGTGACAGAACCCAGACTACCAGCAAAGTCTCTCACCTCCTAATTAATGCTTTTTCCCATTATATCATGTTAAGCCTTCTCATTCGTTTCAGTCCATGGTCTTTTGAGGAGTTAATTTTTAATTAGTTTGTTAATTATGTGTTTTTTTTTTTCGGTCTTTACATATGTAGATGGAGGGCACAATTCTTACCCTAAAAGAGCTCTTGTAAGAGAGATAGAAAATGTCCTGATATAAGTATCCATAGAGTTCCAGGCAAGTACTAGTGGCCACCAAAGGCTTATCTGCTCTGAACCCCATGTAGGGTAACTGCCACTGCTCTATCCCTATACCTTCAGCCCATGTGATCACAACAGGAGCAGCTGTGTGAAAACGTGACCCTGACTCCCCCAGTTGGCACAGGGCTGGCAGCTGACCTATGTAGGGCTGGTGTCCTTTTTCAGGAAATTTCAGAACTGAACTTGAGATAGAGAAATAAGTCTTCAGGTCTCTAGATGATATAAGATAGAAAGTTCAGGAGCTGCCAGGAACTACTTTCCCATTATATGGACTCAAATAGTGGATCTGTAGAGAGAAGGAGGAACGAAGCAGACACACAAAGAGGAGAGTAGACAAGATGCACACAGAAGAGAAAAGATTTAAGGAGAGGATTCAAGACACAGGGAGAGGAGACAACATGGTGAGAAAATCCTGATGGCAGTTGAGTCCAGAGTTGTTCTTAAGGCTCACCTGCATTCCTTTGCTTGGATCCTTGAAACATCCCAGTGCTTTTACAATAATTACCTTTTTGAATAAGTTAGAGGGAGTTGGATTTCTGAATATATATAGTCAAAGGAGTACCAATAAAAGTATGTATCTGAAACAGACTGGGGAAATTGGGAAGATTTTCTAGAGGAAGAGATGTCTGAACTGAATCTTAAATAGCCTAAAGAAATTGGAGGGAAAGAGAATAGGACTATTCTAAGCACAGCAAACTATATATACAAAGAATTTGAGGTAAAACACGGTACACTTAGAGAGCTTCAAGTTTTGTAAGTATTCTGGGAACATAGGACAAGAACATGTGAGTCACAGAACTGAAATTTGAGAGACACACCAGGACTGTGTCCTTAATTGCTTTGGATTTTATTTTGAAATCAGTACATTCTCATCAAAGGATTTTAAGCAGATTTATGGAATGAAGTTTCTTTTTAGAAAGGTCACTCATCCTTTATCATACAGGATAAATTGAAAGAGATCAAGACCGAAGGCATAGAGATTACCCAGAATGTGATAGGTACTTAAAAGGTTTGTTCATTGAGTTATGTAGAATGAATGGGAGAAGATGAATTTGGAAATTACTTAGTTGATAGAATCCACTTGATTTTTTTGACTGTTTAGATATAGGGGAACACAAGAAGAACCTAGGCAATCCCCTGATTCAGGTTCATGTGACCCACAGTCAGCAGTGGGAGTAATACCAGACTAGAGTTTGTAAGAAGTGGAGATGTAGACTCTGAAGTCATCAGTATAGAAGTGGTAAACTAGATGAATTTTAGGAAGAAATGAATTAGTAAGAAAAGCAGAAGGCCAAAAATGGAGTTCTAGGAAACATTTAAGAATCAGTTTTATTTACTTGTTTTTATTCCTATTAGAACAGAAAGTCCTCAGAGCTAACCTATACTTGGCTAACATAGTAATTTGCCAAGTACTCTATCACCATCACTTCGCCCAGTCATGTGGCATATAGTAGATAATCAGTAAATATATCTAGAATGAATACAGATTAAGCATGGAGGAATTCCATTTCCTTCTGGCCAAGATGGAATAACAAGGTTGAATTTACCCTCTGGCTTAAAACAACCAAAAGGTGAGCAAAATATATGAAATTGTAGTTAAAAAAAATGAATATCAGGCAATAAAGGACAGTGATTCCTGAGAGACAGGAAATAAACAAGGTAAGCCCTGTTTGCCCCAGATTAATGTTTTGAGTGAGTCTTCAGGCACTAGCACAGAAAGGGGGATCCCAAGCAGTTTCTCACATACTCATTGATTTAAGGAGATGGAGTTGAGAGTCAAGAGAGGCCAAGGTGGCCAGAGTTTACAGGGCACATACCAGGAAAGGGAACTCGGAATGTGTAGAAGGCTGCTCTCAAGTACAAGTGTATGGTCTCAGGAAAGCACCTAAGCCAAGAAAAGGGCTATCTGAAAGGATTAGAGGGAATAATACTCACATTCACACAGGACCGATGATTGTGTCTTTCCCACCAGTAAAACTCAAGACCTCAGAATTCACAGAACAATGGGTAGAGCACTCAGAAGTACTCAGTAGTGGGAACCAGTGAGCCATAGACTAGGCATAGCTTCAGGCTTGTCTTATGAATCTTAAAATCAAGACCAGAAAGGATAAAAACATTTCTGAGTAATTTAACTGTATGCCAGAACAAAGCTTAAAAATACCTTTAGGAATACAAAAATATCGAATTTCAACAGTGTAAAATTTGTAGCATATGGCACTGAATCAAAACTTATAAGGTATGCAATCAAATTGGGAGATAAAAGCCAGATATGACATTGGATATTAGAGTTAGCAGCCAAGGACACCAAAACAGAAGAAAAGTTAGTGAATTTGAAAGCATAGCAATACAGACTATCCAAAATGAAACAAAGAAAAGTAAATCAGAAAAAAATATACTAGAATATCAGCTATGGAACAGTTTCAAGCTGCTCTAAGTATATGTACTTGGAGTCCTGAAAACAGGGAATTGGAAAAGAAAAAAATATTTGAAGAAATATTGACTGAAATTTTTCCAAATTTATTTAGAACCAGTTACACATAGATCAATAATCCCAAACTTGAGAAACATGAAGAAAAACCACAAGCACATCATAATTGCTCAAAATCAAAGATAAACAGAAAAAGCTTAAAAGTAGACAGAGGAAAAAAATACAGAGGAAGAAAAATAAATGTAACAGTAGATTTCTGCTGACCGCTCTTAACCACTTTGACCTAGTTGACATTTATATGTCAATTGCAATAGCAGAATACACATTCTTCTCAAACGTACATAGAACATTTACCAGGTTAGATCATATTCTGGACTAAAAATCGAATCTCCATAAATCCAGTGCTTTGGATTTTAACCATCTGATAGGTGTGTGGTGGTCTCATTGTTTTAATTGCAATTCCCTAATGAATAATGATACTGATCATCCTTTCATGTGTTCATTAGCCATCTGGGTATCTCCACTGATAAGGTGTCTGCTCGGATCTTTTGCCTACTTTTTAGTTGGGTTTAGTTTTTTCAATTGTTTAGTCTTAAGAGTTCTTTGTGTATATATATATATATATATTTTTTTTAAATCAGTGTTTAATACTAACTTTATCTATAATTAACTAAAAATAAAGAAATTGTCGTCTGTCCTGTTTTTGCTTCAGCATCTATGTCTTCTGCTGCTTGCCCTTTGGAGAAAACATTGCATTGTAAGGCTGCCGTCTTTTTGGACGAGAACAAGGATCA